GGAGAGGCTGGGAAAATCTAGAGGAAAATGTGCTGGAAAATCGAGCAAAAAAAAAAGTAGAGGGAAGGAAGCACAACAATCAATAGATCAAAACTGCACACGAGGCGCAGTGCCTGTGCATCCAATTGCAATCATCAAGAGCCAAGGACGAGAACGAACCCGAGCCAGAGCCAGGCAGGAGGGGAATGAGGCTAAAACCAACAGAGAATAGCAGAGAAAACTGGCTCAGAACCTGAACCAGAGAACCAGGCGATGACTAAACAAAGTTAGACAAGATTGTGCAACAAACAAAACAGAGGCAGCAAAAACTGCAGCGCCTCCCTGCATTGTTCTCCCACCTGCCAATCCAGGGCACTCCCCCTCTGGACTCACCTGTTCGTGGCAGCTTGTTGGCACTGCCACTGCCACTTCCATAGAGAGCCAGGGAGTAGTTGCCCGGCGAGTTGCAAGTTGTTGCCAAAGTGCCAGTGGCCAGTTGCAAGCTGGATTCTGGCGGATTTCTTGCCGGTTTTCTTTTTTAGTATCTTTCCCTCTCTCTCTCTGGGAGATGTGATTGTGTGCAACATAATTGCATGCGATTATGCTGACCACTCAGCTGTGCAGTTTATAGAACAGGGAGCTACAGATTCACACTTGCCAAGAACTACTTCAAGTTTACTAATTACTAACTCGTAAGTATCTTATTAAAATCTGTGAAAACTCTGCAACATATTAGTTACCTTTAATAGAAACCAGATCCTTAACAAAATTGATCAATTATGGTCGTAAACTCCACACTTAAAGCCTGGACCAGGTTCCATTCTAATTCCAATTTTCGTGGCCAAACGAGGCGAATAACGACCTGCATTTTGGACCAGAATTGATCCGATTAACTTGCTGTACATAAAGTTTGTTGGGCAAGCCCATCAATATGGAGGCGAGTAGATGCAATTTGGAGAATTTCATCAATCAAAAGGACGCCGCTTGCATTTCGTGCTGCAAAACGAGCCTGTTAATGAACAAAAAAAGGACAAGGGGGAGTAGGGTTTCCTTTGTCAAAGCTGCAACGATGTGATGGTCAAAAATAAAAGGACAGAGTTGGAACTCTGTGCTCCGGTTCCCAGTTGAATCCGATTTCCCAGGTCCCGGATCCCGGATCCCGTCCCGTCTGTCAATTTCAGCTGCTGCTGTGGCATCCAAAAAATTTGTTTTTAGTTCGGCTTTTGGCCTGGCAATCCTGTGTCCAGCCGGCATATTTTATATCAGCTCTGTGGCTGGGTCGCCATTTGCACAATTTGTTTGGGGATCGAGGTTACCCCCAGCTTTCCCCCAGTTTTCCCCAATTTCCAACCCACAGCCCCCTTTGACTGGCATCGACTTTTGGACCGGCCACTAATCGAAAAGTTTCTGCCATGCTCGTCGCACTTTAGTAATTAAACTTCGATGAGTCATTTTATTGCCGCTCTCTAATTATTTATGCATACATCAGCGGCAACTGACAATTTATCACGCAATTTAATGCATATTTAAATCGAGCAACGCATATGTGTATATACACATTCAAAATTGAGAGATAAATATTATAAATACATTCCGAACATTGCCCTCGAAAGACTGAGAGATACATGACTTCATGGTGGCATTGTGAACCCCGATAAGAGTCTAGAAACGATCCCAAGAAAGTCTACGATAACCTCGAACTTATTGGTTGACTAAGAACATCTCTACCACTGACTTGAAAGATAATTTCTATATTTATTGGCTCTTTTAATCTCTCATTTTGAGATCAGAGTTCAGTTTCGGTTGAATATTGACTTGGAAAATCCCTTTCCACACTGAAAATACTTCTCTTGGAAGAGTATCTTCTATCTCAAAGTCTCCTTTCGCCACTCCAGAGCGTGTTAATACCCTTGTAAGTACAGGACTCACTCCTGGACCAACAACAATAAGGGTCCTGCAGCATTCCCAGAAGTCAAGTCAAGCCATCACACAAACACACACACTCACATGTGCCGCAGGACGTCTGCTTGCTATTTTTACTCAAAGGAAGCAAAAAAAAAAAAAATAGTGAAATGGAAACAAGTCGAACAAGTTTCCGACACCTCGAGAAAACAATGCCAGGCCTGAGCTGGCAGCCACTCCAAGTCCAAGGCACTAACTTAGTTTCTTTTTGTCACAAATGGCGATGGGTGTGCTTCCTCTCTGTACCCATCCTAATGAAAAAGTTCTTATGAATAATAAATGCATTAAGGAAAGTTCTCACATACAAACAAAACTTTCATTTGCGGACAGGATGAAGGAATAAGTAAGAGTCCAGGAAGAATGTTTTATGGGCAATGGGAGGCATTCATAAATATTACATTTTGCGTTGCTCTACGGAGGCTCACTCAGCACTCCAGATTCAGATACATATCCCAATCCCAAGTATCTCAAAAACCATCTAAACATAAACTGCAGTCATGGCTTGCGCTTGTCCAAACAAACCCCTGAAAATTGTGTCTAAAAATAGTATCTTTGGGCTGGCAATGTGTTAAACATCTTTTGGCGTTGACAAAATTGCATCGCAGCTGCCGCAATTACAAGATGTAGTTGCATTGCGCGGCGAAAGTATCTGACGGATATGCATGCAGCGCGTGTGTGAGTCAATTGATAACAATAACAAAATCCCATTGGAGTGAAGAAGGAAAAAAATGGAAAGGAGGAGGAAGAGCATCTATTGAGCGGGAGAGTGGGAGAGGGAGCAGGAGCGAGTGCGGGAGTGGGAAAGGGAGCGGGAGCAAGAACAGAAGCGTGAGCGGGAGGTGGAGCGGGAGCAAGAGCGGGAGTGGGAGCGGGAGCAGGAGCGACAGTGGGAGTGGAAGCGGGAGAGGGTGGAACTTAGGAGCAGTGATTGAGAGCAAGCGGAAGTGGGGGAGAACGTTAACTGAAAGGGTTTTATTTCGAAATAATTAATAATAACAATAAATTAATAAATAGATTAGTGTTTAAATTTGTATTTTATCTGTAACTTTAATTTACAGAATTATATTAAGAAAACATGGGTCAAATGTTTATAGTTATTTATATTTTATTGAATATATTTTATTTCGTTTAAATATATTTTTAATATATTTTAATTTATCTTAATTTATTTTGTTATATATTCTTATATTTTTATTATATTTTATAACATTTTACTATAATCAAACTTCTTTAAATCAATCTATTAATTCTGTGCAGAAAGAGATCATTGTCCCACTGCCACCAAGAAAAAAAGTTTGAGAGAAGGGCACATTTTTGCTTCTGGCAACACCTTGCCCTCTCCAACATTTTAATTATGGCGTTCGATGTGAAAAGGTCGCAATGTCCAGCCTCGCAAGTTTTATTGTTTTTCTACCGCTTACAAGTGTTTTATTGCAAAGTGTTAATGTTAATAATCAAGTGCAGTTAGTTATGTGTTGTTAATCAATCAAAAAATCCCGGGGTGTGTGTGTTTTCTTGTAGTTTTCAAGCAGAAAGCGAAAAATTTGCAAGCCTACCAACACATACATACATATTCACATGTGTATTTGTAATGTGCGCGGGAAAAGTGCTGCAATATTTTCGTTGTCTGTTTCCTGGTGCTTTGGCTGTGCTAATAAGAAAATAAATGTATCAAGTGTATTAAAATATAAAGAAGTTAGATAATACGTATGTATGTATGTGCGACATATTTTGTCAAGAAGCAAATGCAAAAGGCAGGCGGTGACCGGCGTTTACAGTTACGCCAACGGGAGGCCCGTTGCTTTTGCTGCACAGAAAATATGAGCACACATACATACATACATGTCAATATGAAAAAGTATGCAAAGAGAAGAGAAGTGCCGCAATTTCGGGAATTGCAGTGTTTTTGTCATTTTGCTTTGTGCTTTTTATTTTCGATTGGTGTGATCTTTATTAAATTATGTGTGTTTAATAAAAGGAAAGTAAAAAATGTATTACCATTATGTGATTGCTTATTTTATTTGTTTTTTGTTTTGTGTCATAAAAAAAGGCCAAAGAAAGTGAATAAAAAATATATAAATATGCACACACACCCCCTTTTTATTTGTGTTATAAATCTAATAAAAAAAATGCTCCCAAAGTGTAAATTGTTAGCTTTAAAAAAAAAAAAATCAATTAATTATTCGCGAATAGGAACAATAATAAACATTTAAAGCATGCAAAGAAAAAGAGAAGTAAATGGTGAGTTTAAGAAAATATGTACATTTTTTACATGCATTTTCATATTTGGTGATGGTTTTGTTTTTTAGCATATCCCTTTGTTTATATTATTTAGATTTTTTTCTGCTCTGAATCGAGTTAATATTGTGGAAGGGTGGCGCTCATATCCCTTTATTTATATTATTATTTATTAAGTTTATTTTAGCTCTAATTTCTGCTCAGAATCTAGTTGTTAGGGGGTAGGGGGGATGCTCATAGCTTGGCAGCACTGCTGCTCTCCATCAATGTTTACATTTTCAATTCCACTCAAACTCCGCTCTCTGCTCCACTCAATAAATCTCTCGCGCTCTTGCGCTCATACGCTCTCGCATGCTCTCCCGCGCTCAGCTCTCGCACAGTGGCGCCATTTGGCCCAGCAACGGCGGCGAATGTAACTATGTCTGCTTAGCAAAAAGCAAGAGCGAGAGAGCGGCGCCTGCGTTCGCTCGTATCTGTGAGATACTCCATCTGCCGAATACGAATCCGAGTATTTACGAAACCGAGTATCTCGCCGCTGAAACCAGCTAAAGGAAAAAGAGGCTCGAGTTTTCAGTGGCTGGCGTAGCTGAAGTCAGTCATATTCAAACTTCCATACCGAGCGGACGTACGATTCGGATCGCGTTTTCAGGTTGGAAATAGGAAAAAGTCAGGAAAAAATCAAACAAAAGAGAAATACAAAGCTCAAGTGAAAGAGAAATTCGGTGCGAAAGCAATGAAAATACAAAATACACCGGGAACGAAGTGCGCTTAGTGAAAAAAAAGAAAACGCAAAATAAAACGAAATCGAAAAGGCAAAAAGCTAAAGAAAAAGCAAAAACGAAGGGAACGAAACAAAGTGTCGAGGAAAATGCCAGTTCCCAGTGTCCAAGTGGCCAAGTGAGAGTCCCACAAACGCGAACTACACCTCAGAGAAATCCCTTCCCTTCGCGCCGCCACAAACCTCACAGAATGCCGCCGCCCGAATGCCTGCTGCTCCCGCTGTTACTCTCCTGGAGCTGTCTGGGATTGGGAGCGGGTATAGCGGTAGCGGGTGCCGGAGCGGTAGCGGCTTCCCAGGAGTCCAAGGGAGCAGCGGACTCCTCCTCCAGTGCCAGCGCTAGCGCCATAATGGGTGCCGGTTCCGGGGCAGCTGCCACAGTCTCGCTCTCCGGCGACTATTCCTCGCTGCTGTCCAGTCCGGGACAGGCAGGTGGTGGCCAGTCCGGCACCTCGCCAGCACCCTCAGCGGCTGCTGTACCGCCCAGCGGACCGGGCAATCAGTGTTCGTGGTCCTACAACGGCACCAGCTCGGTTTTATGCTCCCTGCGTCTCATCGAACGCCAGCCGGGATTGGATCTCCAGGGCGCCGATGGCAGTAGCCAGTTGAGCATCCAATGCAGCGATCTGTACCTCTTCGAGTCCACGTTACCAGTTGCCGTCTTTGCCCGCCTGCAGACCTTGGAGGCCCTAAGGCTGGACTCTTGCAAGCTGCTCCAGCTGCCCAACAACGCCTTCGAGGGCCTGGGCACTCTTAAGGTGCTGCATTTGAACACCAGGAATGCGGAATGGGGAGCCACACGCTCTTTGGAGCTATTTCCTGACTCACTTGGAGGGCTGAAGCAGCTCACCGAACTGGATCTGGGGGACAATAACCTGAGGCAGCTGCCCGGAGGTTTCCTGTGCCCGGTGGGTAACCTGCAGGTGCTGAATCTTACCCGTAATCGCATCCGCACCGCCGAGCAGCTGGGATTTGCGGACATGAGCTGTGCGGCAGCAGGAACAGGGAGTGCTGGGAGTGAGCTGCAGGTGCTGGATGCCAGTCACAATGAGCTGCGCTCCATAAGCGAGAGCTGGGGCATCTCACGACTGAGGAGGCTGCAGCATCTCAACTTGGCGCACAACAACCTCTCGGAGCTGTCGGGAGAGGCTTTGGCTGGACTAGCCTCGCTGAGGATCGTGAATCTGAGCAACAATCACCTGGAAACGCTGCCCGAGGGTTTGTTTGCTGGCAGCAAGGAGCTGCGCGAGATTCATCTGCAACACAACGAGCTGTACGAGCTGCCACGCGGTCTGTTCCATCGCCTGGAGCAGCTGCTGGTGGTGGATCTGTCCGGCAACCAGTTGACCTCCAATCATGTGGACAACACCACCTTCGCGGGACTCATCCGCCTGATTGTGCTGAACCTGGCGCATAATGCTCTCACCCGCATCGATTATCGCACCTTCAAGGAGCTGTATTTCCTGCAGATCCTGAATTTGCGCAACAATTCCATTGGTCATATTGAAGATAACGCCTTCCTGCCGCTGTATAACCTGCACACTTTGAATCTCGCCGAGAACCGGCTGCACACTTTGGACGACCGGCTCTTCAATGGCCTCTACGTGCTGTCCAAGTTGACGCTGAATAACAATCTGATCAGCGTGGTGGAGCCAGCAGTGTTCAAGAACTGCTCGGATCTCAAGGAGTTGGACCTGAGCTCCAATCAGCTGAATGAGGTGCCACGTGCCCTGCAGGATCTGGCCATGCTGCGCACCCTGGATTTGGGCGAGAATCAAATCCGGACTTTCGATAACCAGAGCTTCAAGAATCTGCATCAGCTGACGGGATTGCGACTGATTGATAATCAAATTGGAAACATTACAGTGGGCATGTTCCAGGATCTGCCTCGCCTGAGTGTCCTGAATCTGGCCAAGAACCGTATCCAGAGCATCGAGCGAGGTTCCTTTGACAAAAACTTTGAGCTGGAGGCCATTCGACTGGACAGAAACTTCCTCTCGGACATCAATGGAGTGTTTGCCACTCTGGTCTCCTTGCTTTGGCTGAATCTCTCCGAGAATCACCTGGTGTGGTTTGATTACGCCTTCATCCCCTCGAACCTCAAGTGGCTGGACATCCATGGGAATTACATTGAGGCCTTGGGCAACTACTACAAGCTGCAGGAGGAGATACGGGTCAAAACGCTGGATGCCTCTCACAATCGCATCACGGAGATTGGTCCAATGTCCATTCCCAACACGATCGAGCTGCTGTTCATCAATAACAATCTCATTGGCAGTGTGCTGCCCAATGCCTTCGTGGACAAGGCCAATCTGGCCCGTGTCGATCTCTACGCAAATCAGTTGAGCAAGTTGCAGCTCCAGCAGCTAAGAGTGGCTCCCGTGGTGGCTCCAAAGCCCTTGCCCGAGTTCTATCTGGGCGGGAATCCCTTCGAGTGTGACTGCACCATGGATTGGCTGCAGCGAATCAACAATTTAACCACTCGTCAGCATCCTCGTGTCATGGACATGGCCAACATTGAGTGTGTGATGCCGCATGCTCGCGGTGCTGCAGTGCGTCCGCTGGCGGCTCTGCGGCCTCAGGATTTCCTCTGTCGCTATGAATCGCATTGCTTTGCTCTCTGCCACTGCTGTGACTTTGATGCCTGCGACTGTGAGATGACCTGCCCCAGCAATTGCACCTGCTACCATGACCAGATTTGGTCCACCAATGTCGTTGATTGTGGCGGCCAGCAGACCTCGGAGTTGCCGCGACGCGTGCCCATGGATTCCAGTGTGGTTTATTTGGATGGCAACATCTTCCCCGTACTGAAAAATCACGCCTTCATTGGTAGGAAGAACCTACGGGCACTTTATGTGAATGGTAGCCAAGTGGCAGCCATCCAAAATCGAACCTTTGCCAGCCTGGCTTCGCTGCAGTTGCTCCACCTGGCCGACAATCGCCTGCGCACTCTCCATGGCTACGAATTTGAGCAGCTCTCCGCCTTGAGGGAGCTGTATCTGCAGAATAATCAGCTGACCACCATTGAGAATGCCACTCTGGCTCCATTGGCTGCCCTGGAGCTGCTCCGCATCGATGGAAATCGGTTGATGACATTGCCCATTTGGCAACTCCATGCCACGCACTTTGGCTCCAGGCTGCGCTCCATTAGTCTGGGCAGGAATCCATGGACCTGCCGTTGCCAGTTTTTGCAGGCACTCACAGCCTACGTGGCGGACAACGCATTGATTGTCCAAGATGCACAGGACATCTACTGCATGGCAGCCAGAGGCGGAAGCTCTGGCATGGATTTAAGCTCATCCACCGCAATCGATGAGGGATCTCTGGAGAAGAGGGAATTGGACTTTAATGCCACAGGAGCTGCCTGCACGGATTATTATTCCGGTGGATCCATGCTGCAGCATGGCATTCCCGAGTCGTACATCCCACTGCTGGCCGCTGCACTGGCTCTGCTCTTCCTGCTGGTGGTCATTGCCATGGTTTTTGCCTTCCGGGAGTCGCTAAGGATTTGGCTATTCGCTCACTATGGCGTTCGGGTCTTTGGACCGCGTTGCGAGGAATCCGAGAAGCTCTACGATGCCGTGCTCCTGCATTCGGCCAAGGATTCGGAATTTGTGTGCCAGCATTTGGCTGCCCAGCTGGAGACGGGACGTCCACCACTGAGGGTTTGCCTGCAGCACCGGGATTTGGCCCACGATGCCACCCACTATCAGCTGCTGGAGGCCACAAGGGTCTCGAGGCGTGTGGTGATACTGTTGACCCGGAACTTCCTGCAGACCGAGTGGGCACGCTGCGAACTAAGGCGATCCGTGCACGATGCACTGCGTGGCAGGCCCCAAAAGCTGGTGATTATCGAGGAGCCGGAGGTGGCCTTCGAGGCGGAGAGTGACATTGAGCTGCTGCCCTACCTCAAGACCTCAGCGGTACATAGAATCCGCCGCTCGGACCGCCATTTCTGGGAGAAGTTGCGCTACGCCCTGCCCGTGGATTACCCCACCTTCCGGGGCAATAATTACACCCTGGAGCTGGATCATCACAATCACGAGCGGGTGAAGCAACCGGCCAGTCCTGGACTGCTCTATCGCCAGGCTCCGCCGCCCGCCTACTGCGGTCCTCCGGAAGGGGCGCCGCCTCAGGGAGGAGCTGTGGTCACTGCCTCAGTGCCAGCGGAGCAGAATTACTCCACGGCCACCACAGCCACGCCGAGTCCCAGGCCACAGCGCAGGGAGCAGCAGCAGCAGCAGCAGCAAGGATCTGGGTCAGGATCAGGCTCTGGAGCTGGAAGCCATCATCTGCATGCCCAGTACTACCAGCATCATGGGATGCGACCGCCTTCGGAGCACATTTACTCCAGCATTGACTCGGACTACTCGACCCTGGACAATGAGCAGCACATGCTGATGATGCCGGCAGGTCATGGGTTGGAGGCTGCACAAAGGGCACAGACCTGGAGGCCCAAGCGGGAGCAGCTGCACCATCAGCAGGCCCAGGCCGGCACCCTGGGCTCCAAGGCGAACCAACAGCAGCAACAGCAACAGCAGCAGCAACACCAGACAGTGTCCAGTGGCCAGCAGCAGGGACCTCATGTCCAGGCGTATTTGGTATAAGAGCATAAGCATTCCCCTGCCGGAATGATGACAGTGATTTCTTTAGGGACTGGTTCCTGTGCATAATTTTAATTACTAAAATATGTGCGAGTTAAGCTAAGAGCAAGCAATGGAAAGGGGGCAGGGCAGCATGATGGCAGCAGGATTTTAACGTATATTACTTTGTTTATCCAGTGTAAAGTCATTTTAGATGCACTAAACCCACACAGAGACGAAGCAGGGAAGCGAGCACACACAAGATACAGATACGAGTACCAGATACAGATGCAGTCATGTCAGTGGTGGTGTTGCTACAATGCCATTTCAAAGTTTTCCCAACTAAGTTTCCTCCATCTAACACACACACACACACACTCACATTCGTATGAACTCGAACCCGAACTCGAACTTGCTCTGGCCTGGCATTTGCTTAGCCAAGAATCGCTCGAGGGGGAGGGAACGGGGAATTTGTGATAACTTTTTAATATGGTTTTAATCAGTTTGGACGCAGGAATAAAGATTTCCAGGCAGCAGCAGCATCTGTATCTCTGTGTGTGTGTGTCTGCTCGTTCCGTGTCTCATTAATTTGTAAATAGCCACATGCCGTATTTACTGCCCAAAACATAACGTAGATAGGTATAGACAGAGCGACACATACACCTCCGCAGCGCATAGATACAGATACAAAAGATACAACAGTTACAACAGCTACAGTAACCGTATGGATAATTCAATAATCACATCCCAGAACACATGTAAATTGTATGCCACAGAGCTCCGCAGTGAAATCGATAAATGCATTTGTCAAGTAATCCCAGCCGTATGTAAAAAGCATTAATAATTAGCCAGCAATGGGAATGATTCATAACCATTTAATATACATACATAGATTGCAGAGAAGCTCATTTTAAACACTTACGCTTACCAAAACTAACGATAATTGTAACAATGGTCTCGCAAGCTGCGCGGCTCACATACACCCTACATAATATGCATAGCTAATTATATATAGTAGTACAGATATATATATATATATATATATACATATATATTCATGGATATATCAATGTGCGTGTCTGCATGTACGTGACTGTGTAAAGTAAAGGAAACTAACTGATATTAAAGAACTACTACTATGTGTGCGGTATGTATGTATCCGCCAGAACGTATATATAAATATCTACGAGTAAATGTTTAACAAAACTGCCTATAGAACGTACTCTTACTCGTACTCGATTCGAGAGCATTTATTTCAGCACACTCGCCTACTCGTCATTAATTAAGCAAGTCCAGAGATTCAGATAACCAGATCTATATATATATATACATTAAGGGATCCCCCAGATCCATTAAGACACTTGTACCAGTATGAAAGCCCAAAACTGTTATTTATTTTTATCATTTTGTAATATACGAGACAAAGAAAGAGAGAGATCAGCCCTAAGTTTAGTTCTAATGCAGCTCTACGATATATATATATGTATAACCTATGGATAATTCAATTTTGTGAATACAACTATTTATATACTATATATATATACATCTAAATCTATGTACGATTACGACAAACAACAAAAACAACAAAGATATTTTTCTGTTTCGCCAGCGAACAATGCAAATGAAATGAACAACTTTTTTAAAACAAAAAAACAAAGTGAAGTGTTTCTACAAACTGGGATTTGGGAATGTGCTTTCGATAATGGTCGATTGGTCTACCATTTCCATTTCCAGCTGGCTTTTTGCTAATTTAATTCATCATGCACATGAGTTGCTGTTTTGTAATCCTCACGCATTGTCAGGGGGCATTCGTCGGCGGATGAGGAGCGACTTCCATCGGTCGTCGGCGGAGGCGGCGGCGGCAACACGTCAAAGTCAACGTTTGCTCCGCTCCGCGCTCGGCTCAGAGTGATAAATCATTTTTTTGTTTTCTATACAGTTTACTATATACATATATATCCAAACATATACATATATCTACTTGAAGCGACATACAAATGCGCAGCATACAAATCACCCCCCTTTTGCCATGATGCGGTCCATCACGGAGCATATAGCGCCTCTCACCCGGGTTTCATGTCTATCTGTCTGGCGGTTAAATGATGGCTGTTTCCCTCTGAAGGGTAACATACTCGCACTCGTACCTAGTCGAGCATTATACGCGTCTAGAGTGGATTTCTATGACGCTTTTGGCATTTATGCCAGACCAAGCCGGGCTCAAGTGCCAAGTGCAAAGTGTTGGCCAAAAGAGTTGGAGTTAAAAGATGGAGTTGGAGCTAGAGTTGGAATTGAAGCTAGAGTTGGAGGTGGAGCAGCAGCAAGAGTTGGTTTCAGCAGATGTAAATAGTGGTGAAACAAATCGAAGAGCTACGTTCTCCAGTATCTCAATTTCTCAGTCAATTTCGATTGCAATACATTCCAAAACAAAGAGCAGAAAGAAAGGAAAAAGAAATGCTAGAAGATGAGGCATGTCTAGGAGATACCCTGGTTAAATAACAAAGCTTGGTTAGGATTTTGAATTTATATTATATCTAATTTTGGTAAAATTTCAAAACATAAAACCATTTACTTTAAATTATGTCTGGATATATCCTTAGTATAAGAAATAAGCAGATAATCTTTGAATACCTTAAAACAATCCCTTAGCTACAATAATAACTATGTTTCCTAGAAACCTTTTGCTATAAAAAAAAGTATTTTAAATATAAAAAGGTTCTAGTATATGTCTTCTTAATTTTATACAATATTTTCCACACTTTCCCAGTAATATATATATACCCAATTTCAATATACCCTCGCTAGCTGCAAGTATGAAGTACGAAAAAAAGGGGGAAACCCATTGAAAAGCCAAGAAGGGGAAGTGCTTTTCCCCTCCCCCCAGGAAAAACCCTATTGACTGCAACTGGCAAAGTTTTTTAATTTGCTTTTATTGAGGTGGCACCCTCCTCTTCTGCACTTTTCCCCCTCTACCCACTGCACAACAACTTGTATCTAATAGATTTACAGACCCGGCAAAGAAACAATGCCACACATTGCGTATCTGTATCTAGATACAAATGCCGAAAGACAAGGGCAGCACAGTAGCTACTTCAATGCAATCGAAAGGCATTGAAGGGGAGAAAATCGGAAGCCCTAGTTAAGGAATTTTTGGGAAATTTCATTTAACAATTTCTTAATTGTTTGCAGATACGCATCTGCTGTCGAGTTGGCAGTCATCTTCGGGGGAGAGTTTTCCCATTTCCCCTTAGCTTTTCTGGGGCAAAATCAATACGGCCAGTTCTTTAAATCTAGCAAAAGGAAACTAAGGAGAAAGAGATATTTCATATTGCCTGATCAAAATTCAATACGTGTTGCAAATATCGAATTTCCATCAAAACAGAAACAAAAACAAAACAGTCGTAAAAAACATTGAGGGTTGCTCTCACACACGGGGGAGGAGTATGTGTGTCATGAGGGGGCTAAAAAAATATATATAGGATATACACATCGGCCTTTGCTACGCTTATTATGATAATAAATTTTTATGCTGCAAGGAATAAAGGAGAGAGTGCAGGGAAAAATTAAATAAAAAAATGTACGAGTATCAGGAACAGGCACAAAGTGAATTAAATTGAATTGAAAACTGTTTCCCCAATAAAAAAAAAAGGAAAGGGCCGCCACTTCAGGGGCAAGTTTAAATGCCTCGCCTACAGAGCAAAGGACCCTACACACTGGCAATCAAATTATTTAAATGTAATAAAAAAGGTCCGGCCAAACATTTGCCTTGGCATTTGCCAGGCACAACTTTTGCACTGTCAAATGTGGGCCAGTCACTCAGATTTACTCAATGTCAGTACATAGATATGTATATATATATATATGTATACGCCCACAGCATTTCCATTTCCCACACATACACACACCCACAGATATTCCGATACATAGGCAAGTGGGAAAACGCTTTTCGTCACGTTTTTGTCGGTAGAGCGCACAGAAATAGGCAAATAAATCTGTGCGAGCAGCGGGAAAATTGAAACGAAATGCTTGGTCAGGCTTTTCCATGCAACGCCTGTCTGTATACAAACTATATAGTATATAATATATATATTGTATATGTACGTGTGTAGGCCACAATTTTCATTTTCTAGCTGATAAACAACGACGCCAAGGTGATAAGTTCATTCTGACAGCTTGCAAATCAAAGTGTCTCCTGGCTTTTATTTCTGTTTTATATATTCTTTGCTCACTTTTACTTTAGGGAAAATCAATTTAGCCCCAGACAATGATTGAAGTTTTTATTTTTGCGTGGGCCAGTCAATCGGCCCACATATTTTCTTTCTGTGAAAAACACACAAACAGACTCGTAAGTCACCTTTAATTATATTTCAAGGAATTTAGCAATGTTATTATTATGATGACATGATGGCCCAAGTGTTTTGGAAAATTTAAATGGATGTTAAGGAATTGCAGGCTCAATTAATTTCAATATGTTCCAATGTGATTCTTAGAAGGAAGTACAAACAATAGTTATATTTTGAAGCCAAATTGAGTTGGCTAACATTCTAGACTTCCATCCCATTTTCCCTGCTATGGATTCCCTTTATTTACAGCACTTGTTATATTTAATGTTGGGGTTCTAAAATTGCTGTCTGAAGTCAACATAATTAACCTTTTTTGAGCCGCATTTTGGTGGGGTTGGGGTGGGTTTTGGGAAAACTTTTTGCCTGTATTTATAATAAGCTCTATAATGCGGCCAGAACGCAAATGTCACAAGTGCCCGGCCAACGAATTGCTCCAGCAGCTGTGTGAGGCCACATAGATACATATCCTTGAGTACACGAGTGTTCAAGGATACATGTACATATACATGTGTGTGTTTGTCATAATTTCACGTCCATTGTCAGCGTTTATTCAGCATGGCGGACGGAAAGAGAGGACCGAGAGAGAGAGAGAGAGGACACAGACCGACGACATTTATGCTTTATCCTGGCTGGTGGCGTTGCCCCATTGTCGTTGTTATTTTTGTGGGGCGTAATTATTTGTTTTGGCTTGCCGGGTTCATTTACTCCACCGAAAAGAAAATAACCCAAAGGAGTGTGTATTTTGCATGTGCCCCGTGTTTTCCTCTGTGTGTGTTTGTGCACATGTGTTTTAATTTCTGTTTGTTTGTTGTTTTCCACAACAGCAACAATAACAATAGCAACGATAAAAACCAGTCTGACACACACCGGTGTCGCCTTGTATGTTTTTGTTTTTTTTTTTTCTTTTTGTGTATTTTCAGTGCCCACTCGGCGTGGGTTCAAACAATTACGAATTATGGCCCAATTCCACTTGCCGTTTAGGGTTACCTTGCCTTAATTGTTTTTCCCTGCAACCGATTTTCAAGAGTATTCCAAGAATATCCCTGGGACGAAACTATTTATCTTGCCAAAAGGCGAGCGAGCATGGGGAAAATCAATAACCCAAAAAGCTTTAAAGTCAAAAAAGGAGAGCTGGGTTAGCCGGGGAAAATCGAGCAGGAAAAACCGGTTTAATGAGCCGGCTTTCTGGCTGCCTCGCTGCCTGATGGACGCCTTGCACGCAACGACACCAAACATGTCCTGTGCTTATTAAATTTCGTGAGCAAGTGCCGAAGGACTAAAAGAAAAAGGAGTTGCACTCGAAGAAATTATATAAAATCAATAGAAATTTTCTTTAATAATTCTATGGGGATTCCGTGATAACCAAGGATTTACAGAGCTTTCTCTCTGTGCAGCCGTTTGAAGTTGCAGCCGGAGAAATGCCAACAAAGCAAAGCCGGCGAACGTCAGGATATTAAGGACACTGGCCAAGGAAGAGGGCATAAAAAGCAATGACTTGGTCACGACCAATAAGATGGAAGAGACAATTCAATTGAAAAAAAATCAACGATCGATAATCTTTACCACTGACCGCACACACGGACACATTCAGTCCTGTCCTGTCCTGGGTAGGTCCTTGAAGAGCCTGCCTCTGCTCCAGTTCCA